GAGGTGCCCCCGGCGGCCACCAACCAAGGGCGGATCTAAAACTGTCTACGCCTCCCGCCGCCGCCGCTGCGTCAGCGCGCGCGCGCCAGCACCGTGGTTTATGCTCGCAAGCCCCGCCCACGTCGCAAGCCCCGCCCACGTCCTGCGCTGCCGATTGGTCCCCCCCGCCAGGCCCCGCCCTCAAGGCCCCGGCCTCGAGCCCCCCGCGCGACTCCGAGCACGTGGAGCCGCCTGCAGTGCCCGGCTGGCCGTTCCGGGCCCCACGTGGTTCTGGGAGGCCTAGGCCACACCGCGCCGCCCTGCGACCTCCTCACCAGCATTCGCGTCGCCCGGCCCATCCTCCCTTGTGGGCTGGAGCGGGACCGACAGTCAGGGCCTGTCCCACCTCGCATTCCTACCCCGCGCTGGTCCAGCCTGGGAACAGGCTGAGCACAAGGGTGCGTCTGTTCGGATCCAAAGCGCAGGAAGGGTAGGGGTCTGGGTGCCCGCGCACCCCTTGAAGGGAACCCAGGCCCTGTAGAGCGTGGGCTCCTATCCCCAATGGGCTGAGGTGATGGCGTTCCCCCCCCCCCCCCCCCCCCCCCCCCCCCCCCCCCCCCCCCCCCCCCCCCCCCCCCCCCCCCCCCCCCCCCCCCCCCCCCCCCCCCCCCCCCCCCCCCCCCCCCCCCCCCCCCCCCCCCCCCCCCCCCCCCCCCCCCCCCCCCCCCCCCCCCCCCCCCCCCCCCCCCCCCCCCCCCGCTCCGCCCCAAAGTCTGTTCATTCCGAGAACTTGGGAAGTATGAGATGACCCGCGGGAGAAGCTCTTGGTCCATCTCGGGTCTGGGGAACTGAATCAATTCCCATTTTATCCCAAAGGGAATCTTGCCAATGACCAGCAATGTGGGGCACACAGTTTTGGGAAGCAGTAACACAGGCTTTCCAAAACCAGGAATCTGCATAAGCTCAGTTAAATCAAGAAAATGGGGGTTCCCCAGAAAGAGCAAAAATGAGAACCCCCACCCCCAAATCTAGCTGGGGAATTCAAAGGCAGGCCTCAGGGTGAAGGGGCTTTAGCCTGTTGTGCCTGGGAGTGAGAGTGGCATATTAGGTAGCTGTGGTCAGAAGTCGTTGGAGGGAGTGCAGGATGGCCATCGTCACCCCAGGCCTGGAAGCAGGATAGATGCCTGCTGGCTGAACTGACCGGTGAGTAGGGAAACACCCCAGTCAAGGCATGGGGTCAGGTGAGGAAGCTCCTCCGTACCCCCCAAATGCCCTCCTTTACTTGGTATCTGTCTTAAAGGGTACTCAGGAAAGCTCACTAACAAGCAGAAACCCGGAGGGACGCCAGGGAGGCCTTAGTTCCAGGTGACCATTCAGGCACCCAGGGCAAACTTTATGAGGACATAAAGCCTGGCGTTTACAGCAAGATGGCCTATGGAGCAGATGCCCCTATGGCATCCACATAATTCTGTCCTTGGAGCCCCCTCGCTAGGGTGTTCAGCTGAGGAGTGCCAAGGCATGTCATTCTCGACCTTCAGCATCCCACCCCCCACCCCACAACATGCTGGTCATTCATCTGCAATGATAAAACCATCTAAAACCTCAGCAGCCCAAGCAGCCAGAACCTGAGGAGCCGAAAGGTCACACAAATATGAACTTGCAATATATTGTCTAAGTTGGTGGCTTAGGGGAAGATAAAACGAGCTCTTCACTCATTCCACTTTCAGAGGGCGTTGCTTGGCAGGAGACCATACTTCTAATGGCTGAGCAAACTTACCGAGCCCTTGCTAAGTCCCTGGAGTACAACTTCTTATTTAATAGGGTAGGTGCCAATTCTCAGAGCCATTTTACAGATGAAGAAACTGAGGCTTAGCAGAGTAATGGAACTTGTTTGCCCAGTAAGTGGGCTACAACTCCATCCTTTTGACCCCTGCACCACTCCAGTACTTTAAATCATTCTTGCCACCCTTCTTGGAGCAACAGAGAGAGGCAACAATCATACACAAAAATGTAAAATCATAACCACGATAAGCCAAGGACACTAAAAGGGGCCAAGAGAGCCACACACAGGGAGCCAGGCAGGTCCAAATCTGCTTTTCTGAGGTGGTGCCTGGAGCCAAGAGCCCAGGGTGAGTGAAATTAACAAGGGAGACGGAGGGAGCCACACGTGCCCAGAAAGGCCCTGGGACAGTTGGTGGAACTTCTGTGCCTCTGAAGTGGAACTCGTGGGCAGTTGCTAGAAACCTTAAGCAGGAAAGGTGACAACATCCCAAGAGCATTTTAAAGGTCCCACCTGCAGCTATTACACCTTCGCTGTCGAATTTTACTGGGCTTTCATATGATACCCTTGATTTCTTCTTGCAAGTTTGTTTTGTAATGAAGTACTGAAACAAGACTCCAAAATCTTAGCAAAGAGTGCCATCTGGTGGACCGTGCACAGCTTTTTGTTTTTATACAGACTCAATGCAACCACTTGCCGTTCGACAGTGCATATACCGGTCAAGTGGTCTTTTCAGCTCCAATCATTGATTTATGCATTCTCATGCAGGCTGGTGGGGAGAGTAACCTGAACGTTTCTATAGAGGGGAATTTGAGAGTGTCCATCAAAAGCAGTAAAACAGGGCCGGCCCGTGGCTCACTCGGGAGAGTGTGGTGCTGACAACACCAAGTCAAGGGTTAAGATCCCCTTACCAGTCATCTTTAAAAAAAAAAAAAAAAAAAAAGTCGTAAAAAAGTGCATCCCTTTGACCTAGTAATTCCACTTCTAGGTCTTTATCTAAGGAAATAAAGAGTATGTGCGGTGTTTTGGCTACATGGTTGTTAATAATAGCTTTAAAAAATAATAGCCCATATTGGAAATAAACCAAATGTCCAACTGATTTGAGTTGGTAAACATCACTATATCGATACAGTGGAATACAGTGTAAGTAACCATTAAAAATCACGACGTGCAAGAGTCTTTACTGACATAAGTGGAATAATGGGGTACAGAATTTTGAAGCTCCGTTGGGTGGACAATTAGGGTGTTCTGGCTGAGACCATCCATCTTTTGAGGTACGGGAAGGCTGCCGTTTTGGAGCAACATGCATTTTCTGTCCCACAGGTGGTCAGGGTGAGGCTTGGCTTCAAGGAGGTTGACTCTTCTTTGGGGGGGAACCATTTCCCAGTCCTCTTGGAACAGGGGAGATTGGCCTTGAGAAGCTCGACCTCCGCGGAGGATAACAAACATGGCCCGCTTCTGTTGGGACAGAGTTACATCTCTGTAAATCATAACCCTTTTTAGAAACCCTTCTCACGTGGCTGGGGGTCTCAGGGCTCTGAGGCCAGACTTGGGAGAGAAGAGCCTGTCATGTGCCCTGTTGCTGCAGGGAAATAGACTGGACCTAGGCAAACATAGTAGCTGCTCATCCAGCTTTTTCTGCTCCCCGCCTCCAAACTCTTGTGCTATTACCAAATGATTTTCTGATTCTCAATGACAAAAGGTGGGTGAGGAGGGGAGTTGCATGGCGCAGGGTAACCCATGGGCTTGAGAGGTGGACTTCCTGAGTTCCCACCGGGCCCACTGCAGACCAGCTGGAGGAACTTGGACAAACCTAGCCCCTCCCAGTGTGCGTCACTGGAAGCAAGTCTACTGTTTCTACAGGAAGTTTCACCTTCTATGAAGTGGGAACCACAGTACCGGCCACAAGTGAATTAATTCACACATGTAGAGCACTTAGAACAGTGTCTATCACAAAAGAAGAGCTGGATAAATAGTAGCCACTAGTGGTGGTGATAAGCTGTATAAAATAAACACGAAAATGGTAGCTGCAGCCGTCTCCAGGTGTGTGGAGGGACCTTATATGCAACCTTTTTCTTCTTTATACTTTTCCCTTTTTTCTAAACTTTCTACCATGAGCATATACTCCTTTTACATTGTTAATCTTTTTTAAAATCCCATTTTACAGATCCTCAAAGATGAACGAAAATTTAGCCACCGGGCACATGAGCAGTCTGTGCTTTGTTTTCCAAACCAAACTACCTTTTACTGCACACTCCCAACTCCAGTTGTGGACTCTTCCCCGGGGGCAAATAGGATTCCATTCTGTAAAGTCTTCCTCCTGCTCATCGAGACTGGTCTGTGACCGCCATTCTAAGGAGGGACAAACTTTGAAGATTTTGACTTTGGAAAAAGGAAGTTGGGTGGCCCCACCCAGGCATAATTGAATAGCCTTGAAAACCTTTTATCAGCAGATGTGGATTCAGTGTCTTTTACCAAAGTCCATACCAGGTGCATTTCACTTAAAGTAAGCCTGTTGTTTCTGTAGATGGAGAAATGGGAACTCGCAGAACGTCGCTGGAGAGTGATTTTCTGCCTGGCACAGGATCTTCAGCTGCACTGTGAACTCACTTTATCCTACAGGGTTGAAAACGCTTGATCTGCGTGATACCCCCACCAGCGCTGAACTCTGCGACCCTGCTTCTGCAGCTGGCCCAGACTTCCACACCGACTTGAATGCATGCAGAGTGGCTCCTGGCCCAGGCTTTAGAAGCAAGCTCTACCTGTGTGCCTTGCATCTCAGTTTCCTCAGCTGTAGCATGGGGAAAATAAATCTCTACTTCCTTCTTAGGGTTGTTTGCAGCTTAAATGAGATAAGCCCGTACAGCTTCTAACGGAGCACTGGAACGGGCAGTCCAGCGGGTGGCCCTCTAGCTAGGTGAGCCTGTTGCTGTCCTTCTGTCTCACTTGGAGCAACTGCAGCGGAGCCACAAGGCAGCAGGAAGATGGAAAGGGACGAAATCAGTCAATTCTTTGTTTCCCGATCCGATCGTGAGACGAGTCTTCTTACTGCTCAGGGTCATGGTTTTCATCACTCAGCAAAATAACAGAGCGGTGGCCTGGGCGTCATCGCCCGTTTAGATCCTCACTCTTCTTTTGAACTCACTTTTTCCCCAGGGAAATGGCTTAGCTGATAAACCCTTACTCGACCTGGGGCTGGCTTCAGCTCTCTCCCTCATGGGAAACCCTC